CGTTCTGTTACCTGAGTGGCTGCAGCGGGAAAAGCGAGAGGACGTTCGCCAACCCCGGGGATCCATCAATGAAGGCGTCCCCCATAGAACCTCCCGGTCTCCGCCATCTCGGGGCAGCTCGGGGCAGCTGGACCTGTTCCGTGCCAGTCCGCCTTCACCGCTCCTCCTGTGGTGTTGGTGTTGTGTTATGTGGTCACTTTGTTATATTTAGAACTGTAGTTTTGTCGTATCGTGACAATGTTTCCTTGTTATTTTTGTATTCCTCTTTTATTCCACAATTATTAAAATTACTTATAATGGACTCATACCATTTCCAACTGGTTTTTGTTGCGTTCTTTACTCCCTCGCTGAACCGGGCTTAACAGTGATACATAATACTACTATAGCCACAGTTGCCCTGGAGCACACTGACAGAAGTGAGGCAACCATGTACCATTCACACACGCACGCACGCACGCACGCACGCACGCACGCACGCACGCACGCACGCACACACACACCAAACTCATTCTCGACAATGTGGGTGAAGTGTCTTGACTAAGGACACAGCCACAAGTTGGCACTTTACAGCCGCCTCACTGGGGCACCTGGTGTTCCCAGAGGTCTCCCATCACAGTACTAACTAGACCCTGCCCTGCTTAGCTTCAGAGGTCCAATGAGATGTGGCATTTTTCACATTAGAAAGACTTTCAACACAACCATTGGGAGGTGTTCCGGGCACGTCCCACACAGGAGGAGGCCCCGGGGAAGACCCAGGACACGCTGGAGGGACTATGTCTCTCAGCTGGCCTGGGAGCGCCTTGGGGTCCCCCCGGACGAGCTGGAGGAAGTGTGGGTGGATAGGGAAGTCTGGGCGTCTCTGCTTAGACTGACCCGGCAACGGATGAAGCGGAAGAAGATGGAATGGGATGGAATGGAAACTCCAAATGCTAAAATAATACAAGGCCATTTCACTAACAAACAGGTCAGGAATACAAAGTTAAGGATTCGGGCCGACTCTAAACAGCGGAAATCTGCTGAAAAACCTTCTTTAAGTCATTTATGTCTAATGTAAAGCCGCAAAAAAGCAATTCATGGCCAGATCTAAATGTATTCAAGTTTTTCAGGACACAACCCGGGGAGTATTCGTCACATGTTTAGCAGCTACGGTAAAGATATTGAAATCATTACAACTGGAACTCTGAGTAGCACAGGGACTGGTCTCCTGCTGGGACTCTGAGGAGCACAGGGACTGGTCTCCTGCTGGGACTCTGAGGAGCACAGGGACTGGTCTCCTGCTGGGACTCTGAGGAGCACGGGGACTGGTCTCCTGCTGGGACTCTGAGGAGCTGCTGGGACTCTGAGGAGCACAGGGACTGGTCTCCTGCTGGGACTCTAAGGGAGCACAGGGACTAACCTCCTACCGGGACTCTGAGGAGCACAGGGACTGGCCTCCTGCTGGGACTCTGAGGAGCACAGGGACTGGCCTCCTGCTGGGACTCTAAGGGAGCACAGGGACTAACCTCCTACCGGGACTCTGAGGAGCACAGGGACTGGCCTCCTGCTGGGACTCTGAGGAGCACAGAGACTGGCCTCCTGCTGGGACTCTGAGGAGCACGGGGACTGGTCTCCTGCTGGGACTCTGAGGAGCTGCTGGGACTCTGAGGAGCACAGGGACTGGTCTCCTGCTGGGACTCTGAGGAGCACAGGGACTGGTCTCCTGCTGGGACTCTGAGGAGCACGGGGACTGGTCTCCTGCTGGGACTCTGAGGAGCACGGGGACTGGTCTCCTGCTGGGACTCTGAGGAGCTGCTGGGACTCTGAGGAGCACAGGGACTGGTCTCCTGCTGGGACTCTGAGGAGCACAGGGACTGGTCTCCTGCTGGGACTCTAAGGGAGCACAGGGACTAACCTCCTACCGGGACTCTGAGGAGCACAGGGACTGGCCTCCTGCTGGGACTCTGAGGAGCACAGGGACTGTTCTCCTGCTGGGACTCTGAGGAGCACAGGGACTGGTCTCCTGCTGGGACTCTGAGGAGCACAGGGACTGGTCTCCTGCTGGGACTCTGAGGAGCACAGGGACTGGTCTCCTGCTGGGACTCTGAGGAGCACAGGGACTGGCCTCCTGCTGGGACTCTGAGGAGCACAGGGACTGGTCTCCTGCTGGGACTCTGAGGAGCTGCTGGGACTCTGAGGAGCACAGGGACTGGTCTCCTGCTGGGACTCTGAGGAGCACAGGGACTGGTCTCCTGCTGGGACTCTAATGTGAGACAGGCTTCTGCTTCTCTGACAATGTTCAAATCCAAGTTAAAAACAGTTCTGAAAACAACTAAGGTATTTATGTTCACTCTATCTGTGAATATGTATGATTTTAATGCTGTGTGTGTGTTTCCTTATAGTTTCAATATAGCATTATAAGACACAGCATCCGACTTTATAAACAGAGATGTATCTTTAGGTGTTTCTAGGCAAGGCAATATATATTTGTAAAGCACATTTCATACACAGGTCACACATACAGTACCGATGGTGGTGGTGGTCAGAGGGGCTGATGGCACAGACTGGCTGCCTCGCTTCTGTCAGTGTGCCCCAGGGCGGCTGTGGCTACAATAGACTTTTATCACCACTGTGTATGGAGTGAAAGAATAAAAAAATGTGAAGCGTCTTTGAGAGTCCATAAAAGCACTGAATAAAACCAATGTATAAACATGAATATCCGTTTTTGTCATTATATCCTTGGTCATTAGTCAAACGTCAGACTGGATACTTCAGTGGTTTGAATGTACATCTGCGTCTACATAGATCCGTTAAGGTTAATAAACGTTGCACACACACAAACCCGTGATAAATACACCAAACGTAAGGCGGCCCAGCTTCTTACACGGCCCGCAGATAAATTGAGTTTGAGACCCCTGATCTACGGCCTCCGTCAGAGCCATGGAACAAAGATCACTCAGAAAGTCTTTTCAAGGAGACAAAACCTGCTCGCACCACGCGGCGAAAGAGCAGATATCCATTAACCTCTCGGTACAAAGGCAAAGGCTTCATTCATTCTTCATCATGAGTGCTGTTTATTTATTTTCATATTTTTTCTGACTAAATGCATTGAATGAAAGTTGAAGCAGTTTTTTGCGGACATATACACCGCCTCTTGAAAGTGCTTGACCACATTTTGTCATTTTTACCGCCATAAACTTAAAGATTTCGTGACTCAAAGTATCAGACAACAGTAAAGTGAAAGTAAAACGATACATGGTGTTGTTACGAGGTCAAGGATACAGTTAGCAAATGTTTTTCAAAGCTTTGACCACTCACAGAGCACTTTTCAATCCATTATTTGAATAAGGAAAGAGTATGGAACAACTGCAAATCTACCAACACATGGCCGAAGATGCTGCGGACAGATGAGGCCAGTATGTGACTCTTCGGCTCAAATCCAAAATCGCACTATCCCCAGTGTCAAATATATTAGTGGTAGCATTAGCTTAGCTTAGATGCTAGTTTAGCACCTACCCAGAAATGCAACAGTATAGTAGGCAAGTATAGGACAATATTTACAACACAGATGAATGGATTTTCACATATGTGAGACTGTACAATGCCTCTATTTCAATTATAGTTACATTAAATTACATTATAGGGTGCTTTTCTTCAGCAGGGACAGGGAAGAGTGTCATAGGGGGTGACGAGAAGATAGATGGAGCCAGATACAGGACAAAAGCTTGACATTTTGAAACCTCAGAGTCTGATTTTTCAGAACCAATGCAGAATAATGTTTGTTTTATTGTTTTTTCTTCTAAACATTGAAATTCAGTCAAAAGCAGATGTCTCAAACAAGTAGGAAATAATCATATTACAACCTTGAGAAGGGTTATTATCATTATCCTTATTGCAACTGTTTAAACTGCTTTCATTTTTCTTTCACTTGAAAGATATTCATCTGTAAGAAAGATATTCAGCCATAACTCCTCATATTTAATGGTTAAAGCTAAACGACAGTAGCTCAGTTGGTAGAGCATTGGCCTTAAGCCCAGAAGGTTGTGGGTTCAATTCCCACCTCTGCACCTTCTCCACCGACTCCCACTGATGACTGCTGTCGTTGTGTCCTTGGGAAAGACACTTAACCCCACTTTGCCCAAAGCCCCCACTGAAAGATCAAGGCTATGCTCACACTCAGAGAGCAGCCGTCCTCCTGTGGACTCACCACCTGCAGAGGGTCAGTGAGGGGCTGGTGCTATGAGACTTGGGTGGCATCTCTGACTGCCACCCCCCTGACCCAGAGATGGATTAAAGGGTAGAAGATGGATGGATGGAAGCTAAACGCACATAACACACACTTAAAATACTCTGGTGTCTCTGAATCTTTGACCTCTCAATTAACTTCACATTGATTGAAAATTCTCTCATCAACGATACAACATGGCGTTCATCAGGTAGAAGTAAAGGCGCACTATATTTATCCCCGTAGAGCAATTCATCTCCTGCATTTGACCCATCCTGATGGTAATGGGAAATCCGGAGCACCTTGAGGAAACCTACGCAAACACTGAGAAAACATGCAAACTCTACACAGAAAGTTCTGGAGGTGGAATTGAACCCAGGACCCTCTTGCTGTAAAACTCAATCCGTTTGAGCATCCACATGTGCCACAAACAAAACCAAAGAAGTCAACACTTTTGAACTGGGTTACATCTTTCGCAAACTTTCCCGCCCCTTTTTCAGAGTTCCATCACTTCTTCTACCAACTCTGCTGCAGGTAAACGCAACCGCAGCCTCGCCCCCTCGACTCATTAGCAAAGCTGGGTTAAGCTTATGTAAAAAATATGCACGGTGAATGCATCGGAGACCGCACGGAAACAAACATTTTGCCCTGCCCCGTTCCCCCCCGACTCCCGACTGACAGCTGCTTAAATGCAAAGTGTCGTTAACGAACACAACCCTGCGCGACACCTGCTTTAATCACGGAACAAAGGCGCAGCGAGTGGCCGAGCCAGAGCCCCCCCGCGTCCTGCGATATTCAAATGACGGGGCGGGCGCGAACGCACAAAAACAACAACATCAAAAGAACGGGGCAGAGGATGTGCATCCCACCACCGCTGCTAATCAACTTCATTTCCGTCGTGATTAAAGCTCGGGCTCAAAGTCGCAGAACGGCGGTAACCCTCGGAGTTGTTTGAAAATGTGGACTGTTTGGGGGTTTTGTTTTAATGAAAGCTTTTCAAGTTTGGCGTCATGCTTTTGTTGAACTGTGAGGAACGAGAGAAGAAGACTCATGGACCCGGCTGTTAACGAACTGCTGTGTTTTAGTTTTTAGTAAATGTGTGGAGGTAAACAGGACAGGAGCGAGGAGATACCAATGCTCAAATACTACATTATTCTTTTTCTAGTCCCTCTCTGGTCTCTCTCTGGTCTCTCTTTGGTCTCTCTTTGGTCTCTCTCTGGTCTCTCTCTGGTCTCTCTCTGGTCTCTCTTTGGTCTCTCTTTGGTCTCTCTCTGGTCTCTCTTTGGTCTCTCTTTGGTCTCTCTCTGGTCTCTCTCTGGTCTCTCTCTGGTCTCTCTGGTCTCTCTTTGGTCTCTAGGTTCTCTTTGTTTCCAGTCTCTCTTTGGTCTCTCTCTGGCGGCACGGTGGCTGAGTGGATAGTACTCTCGCTTCACAGCAAGAAGATTCTGGATTCGAATCCCAATCGGAACAGGGCGTTTCTGAGTGGAGTTTGCATGTTCTCCCTGTGTCTGCTAATTTTTCCTCTGGGTGCTTCGGTTTCCATCCATTTTCCATCCATCCATTTTCTTCCGCTTCATCCGTTGCCGGGTCGCGGGGGCAGCAGTCTAAGCAGAGACGCCCAGACTTCCCTATCCACACACACTTCCTCCAGCTCGTCCGGGGGGACCCCAAGGCGTTCCCAGGCCAGCTGAGAGACATAGTCCCTCCAGCGTGTCCTGGGTCTTCCCCGGGGCCTCCTCCCGGTGGGACATGCCCGGAACACCTCCCCAGGGAGGCGTCCAGGAGGCATCCGGAACAGATGCCCGAGCCACCTCAACTGGTTCCTCTCGACGTGGAGTAGCAGCGGTTCTACTCCGAGCTCCTCCCGTGTGACTGAGCTCCTCACCCTATCTCTAAGGGAGCAGCCACTCTGCGGAGGAAGCTCATTTCGACCGCTTGTATCCGCGATCTTGTTCTTTCGGTCATTACCCAAAGCTCATGACCATAGGTGAGGGAGGGGACGAAGTTTGACCGGTAAATTGAGAGCTTTGCCTTTCGGCTCAGCTCCCTCTTCACCACAACTGTCCGATACAGCGACCGCATCACTGCGCACGCTGCACCGATCCGCCTGTCAATCTCACGCTCCATCCTTCCCTCACTCCCCTACCAATAATTTTTTTTTACAATAGGTCTGAATGTAGATGACGGTGTTGATTGGAGGCTTTGATGCGCTAGTGATTTCGGCGACTTGAATGATTGGAACAATATCTGACTCTGAACATTGTAAAGCGCTTTGGGTCTGTAAAATGTATATGAATAAACATTACTTACTCTCTCTGGTCTATCTTTCTCCGATCTCTATTTGGTCTCTGGTCTCTCTTTGGTCTCTCTTTCTGGTCTCTCTTTCTCCAGTCTCTCTCTGGTCTCTTTCTCCGGTGTCTCTCTTTCTCTGGTCTCTCTCTTTCTCTGGTTTCTCTCTTTCTCTGGTTTCTCTCTAGTCAATCCCAATCATTTGGTTAATCAAAAATTGTTTCTCCCCCATTAACTTTCAAGTAGAAAAACCATCAATTCTACTGGAAATCTCATTAAATATTTTTGCAACTGAATAATAATGAATTTCGGTGGTCTCATTACCAACTCCATACTGGTCCCTAACCATCTAAAACAGTAGCCCTGTATCCTGTATCTACCATCATTTAGAAGGTGAATCATTTTAGGATCACAGATTTAAACTGATACATACAATTCTCCAAAGAGCTCGACTGTGTAGAGCATGTATTCAATGATAATGTTCATAGTACACGTGCCATTTCAACCAGAAAACATCCAACCATTTGCAGCTCACGGCCTTTACACGACCACCTCACGTTTGCAAATGCACAGACGCAGCCGGTTATGTGTAATCAAATCAAACCAGTGTAAACTCTGTGTAATAAAAAGTGTGTTTGGACTGTGGCCTCCTAAGTGCTGTTGTCAACCCGTCTTATGATCCAAACGAGGAAGTCAGTGGGCTGCAACGACGGCAGCGTCCGCCAAGGTCTGGTCCAGCGCCGCTAATTCCCGGCATTTGTTTTGATTATTCCGGAAGCGCACGCACGGAACAGCGGCCGTGAAAAGTTTGAGAGGGCTCTAATTTAGATTTGTTTGTTCTTCGGCGCAGCACGGTGCCATAGCGAGGAATCATTACGAACAATTTGGCTTCTTTTAAGTTGTTTTATTTAAAAGTAGGGTGCAGACTTTGTTTCCCACTCATCCTCAATCAAAAACTTCTGGAATTCAATAAGATACAAATTACACGTTATGATTACACTGTTTGTGAGGTGCATATTTAAAAAGGCTCTTTAAAGCTACACGACCTTGTCTTTCAGATGTAAAAGGTCTCTGCGATTTATGCTTACATCTGAAGAAAATCAAGGCGACAAACATGGGTGTTATTTTAATGCATATTGGTTGGCAAGTAATCTCACATACTGTACATGCATAAATTACACATATGACTCTGATGACAATATATTCAAGATTACATTTATTGCTGCTGTACAGAATTGGATTTGGCGCTTAGACCCGGCACAGGGGGAAGAGATTTTGATATGAAATCCCCCGGGGCCTAGACGCTGGTGGTGGAAGCTATAGGAGAAGGATGAGAGAGCTGGCCTGGTACAAGGCGGAGATGGGGAGGAGGAGGGTTGTGGCGTGAATGAAGCTGCTGCTTGGATGGAGCTTCCTCGACCTAGCAACAGTGGGAGGACTTGAAATGTGAGCCTAGTTCTTCCAGTCTGAATTTGGGCTTTAGCTTCATATTCAAAAACATTCAAAAACGTTCAGTTATAGTAAAAAAATTAGCAGTATCAAGGACTTTAAAACTGAAAGTCAATAGTATAAATTCAATGATGACTCTAAATTCAGTTCATACAATCACAGTTTAATTAAGAAATGTTTGGCATGTGTTTTTACCTCTCTTGGATCAGAAAGGTTTTCCAATGTGGTTTTACAGCGAACGGCAAATCATTTGAAACTGAATCAGAACGTGACCTTAAGAATTCTTGTTATTGCTGTTGTAAGTAACAGGAAGTCACAAGCTAGGAATTTGCGTTGACTCAAGCTGCAAACAAATGAAACTAGATGCATGGAAAAATCTTCATAAAATGTCTTACAATTACTACTCTAAACAAGTGCACACTGAGTACACACAATGCCACTTGCAGGGAGAGAAAATACAGAAAAAATACATGAGCAATGCAATTAAACAACCTTTTAAACCAGTGTGGTCCATAAAGCCTTGTCTTTTTAATGCACTACGCAAAATATGTCCACCATACACACAACAAACATGCAGTGGGATGATAAGAAGGGAGTGGCAAACCTCTACATGAACTGTTGGGGTGAAAAATAGAACATATATTGATAACTATTGCTGTTTTTTTGTTGTTGCAAATGACGAAAGCGAGACGGCGAACGCACTAGACCAACAAAGTCTCCAACCAACACCATTCACTCACTCACTCATTACATTCAGACCTATTGTGCATGTTTTCAGTGGTAAAGGAATCCTCAGCACCCAAAGGAAACCTATGCTGTTACAGGGAGAACATGCAAACTCCACACAGAAAAGGCCAGGAGGTAGAATTGAACCGCTGTGCCACCCCCAGTAACAACCAAATGAGATCAACACAACCTGATAGTGCATAGACCACACATCACCCACTGGAATGCAGCCAAAGCCTTCTCTGAGCAAGTCTGGAGCGTGGATACAGCAGATCTATTTTAACAGGTGAGCGGCCGGGCCATCCTTAAATCCTTCGGAGGCTGTATCTCTTGCAAAATCCATGAGGGGCAGGCAGCACAGAGGCCCCGCTCCACTGCACAGCACATAGACCCACTTCACACTCAAGCTGCCGATTGTTAAATTCACACTTGTGTCAGTCTCCTCTGCCCGTTTAGAGCTCTGTCAGGTAACTCCGCGTGGACCAAATCCCCATTTTTACCCCATGTCTCAGAATTGAGCCCGAGAGCTAATTTTGTAGTCGGCGCATGTTGCTTTCTCTTCTCCTTATTACAACGGCATCTTTAAAGATTCATGAGGGAACCTGCATTCAAACAAGCCTAATATCCGAGCAAGTTGGCAGACTGGCAGAGGGAGGTGAATCATAGCGCCCTTGCGACTTGGAAGTGCCCAGATATGCAAATATGTGTATTGGTGCAATGGATTATTTAAATTCATGAATGTGTTTGTGCTCCTGGGGTCGCCCCGCTGCCTGGCTGTGGTCAGTCCCCGTGTGTAATAGGACCCTCTCTGCTGTTTTCTCCTGAGACAGCGGGAGAAAGTGGTGGATGGTGTTTTTTTCAGACTCACCGGTGACACATCGGGTGACATAAGGTGACAGAGTCTCGCCACCGGCTCTGCAAAAACACCCACACAGGAGCAGCAGGAGCAATGGACACTTCAGTTTTCAAGGGACTGGCTCAGTGACGATGAAATGTCTATAATCTTTATCTCTGTAAGCAAAGGTAAAGTGAAGGGTGTACCTCAGGGATGCGTACTTGGACTCACTGTAGATTATGTTTATTGATTGATGACATTCAATTCTCACTAGTCTAACTTGCTTTCAGAGACACAGAAATTATAAAATGTTTTGGAGAATTGATTAAATGCACTGTTTACCATGAATCCAGATTGATACAATATGACTAATTTTAAGCAAAAATAAATAAGATGTTATTAATTGTACTGAAAGAAACATTACAGATGGACTAATTTAAGTTTATTTCGAGCTCATACATTTACATTTAAGCATTTTTCAATAAGTACAGATTATTAGACATTTCAGTGTTGCATCACAAAAGAAAAGAGTCCAACAAACTATCAACTTTCATTTTCAGTCTGAGGGGAACCACTTTATAACGGATCACATTAAGCTTCTCATCCACGACATATAACATGAGGAAATACGTACTTGTTTGTAACCTTCTGTAGATAAATCTGGGTTCAAACATTTTATTTATTAATATTATTGCGTCTTCTTTTTGTCTTTTTATTTGTTTGTTGCACTGTTAAAAACACCACAAAGAGGCAAACGTATTCTTTAACGTTGGACTAATGCCAAAGACACTTCAGTTCCAGGATTATGCAGTGGGTTATCACTCCAGTCTATGGTTATCATGTACGAGTGAAGGTTAAACCAGAGAGATCAAAATGAAATGAAGGTAAATGTGCAATAGACCTCACGGATAACCTCTGTGATAAACTTGAACAGTCTGTATAGTCCTGTGTTGGGACAAAATGTGAGAGGAGAGAATGGTAGAAATATAGTAGATCGATTGTACAATTCTCCAACTGGGTTTTTAGAGAGATGCAGAAGGGTCTGAGGACAGTGGTGATGATCCAGGACACTCCACATTCACCGACATTTATGGACATTGGTCGTCTGCCAGAAGTCCAGGTCAGGTCTGAGAGTTTAATACAGACCCTAAGTATGGCACTAAAAGATCATGTTGCGTCTGCCAGCGATGAACAACGGTTTTCAGGTGTAAAAACCAGGACATACACCAACGTAAAAGACGCCGTAGACGACATGGAGCTGGTTTCCCCAAAAGGACATGAGTTAGAAACACTCTTCAGGCCCCTCCCTGGTACTTTTAAAGAGTATACTGTATGAGAAACGTCTGCAGTAATGTAAAGACAGGTCGTCGAAGCTGTCCAAACCTCGCCGATACATGCATTTTAATGTCGTTTAATGGCTTTTTAACATCACGGCCCGGGGACTACAGATGTCTGCTTGGCTAATTCTGGCATTTTTTACTAATGTTTAATTATGTGTTTTATTAAATTGCATAGTCTCCTTTGAAATAAACTAAACCGAAACTGGATCAAAGACTTCCATCAACCAAGTATCCGGCCTGGTATTCCTTGCATCATTGATTCCTTGCCTCTGCTTCTCTGACCACATGACTTCAGGCTCTATGTGTTTCTTATCATTGCATTTCCTGTGTTTGATTCTCTGATCTGTGTTGGCGAATCGACAGCTTTGCAAAGTCCTCTGAGATAACCATAACTGTTGTGATTTAGGGCGATATAAAATACATTGAATTGAATAAAATGGAGTATTACGATAACACCATTGTACACACACTCTTGAGAAAATTGCTCAAGATGAAGTTTGGGCTGTTTCTATACATTCTATAATTTGTCAAATTAGTGAGTAATGGGTAACCTCCCCCGGCTGCGGTTTGATCCATCTGCCGCCGTTCAGCCACTTTTACTGCTAATTGCCGACGCCTACACGCGCCCTGCCTGCGATTATCGATTCCTTATCCACACAACTCAAACTATTTGAATGACGCAGTGAAACAAGTGGAGATAGACCGGCCCATTACAGCCCGCGGTGCTGCTTCAGTGATGTGTGTGTGTTTGTGTGTCTGTGTGTATGTGTGTGTGTGTGTGTGTGTGTGTGTGTGTATTGAGTGTCGCTCCGTGCTTAGATTCTAACACCTGAAGAGTCGTGACAAGTGGAAGCACCGTCTCTGCACCTGACCACGGCACAAAGCCCAGACCTGGTGTAAATCTATGAGGGATTGTTCTGAAAGTTAAGATTGAGTGTGTATCTAATGGATCGATAATGATGGGCAGAAAGACAAAGAAGATTAATCAAAGTGCGCAGCATATAAAGCACTTAGGAAAGCAATTAGTACATCACAGAAAGCTTAAAGGGACTCAAATCTGTTGGATGAGTGCGAGTTAGCCGCTGTGGTGTCATGATTTCTACATTTACACTCCAGTTCAGAGGTGGGCGATTCTTCTCTTCTCTTATTGTGGAGGTTTGGAGCCATTTTCATGTGGTCAATTTTTATCCTAAGATGAGGGGAAGAAAATGGATGAAAGTTATGTGTTTTCTTTGTGTGAGTAAATTATTGATAATAACAATTTGGTGTCAATAGAAAACATTTATGGGTTTGATGAATGTGCCTCCTGTAGACAACATCGCTCCCATATCTGTGTGCAGACGGATGGAGTCTGCATCGCAGACGCCATCGCAAACGCCATTGCCGACGTTATCGCAGACGCCATCGCAGACTCCATCGCAGACGCCATCGCAGACGCCATCGCAGACGCCATCGCAGACGCTATCGCAGACGCCATCGCAGACGCTATCGCAGACGCCATCGCAGACGCCATCGCAGACTCCATCGCAGACGCCATCGCAGACTCCATCGCAGACGCCATCGCATACATTATCGCAGACGCTATCGCAGACGCCACCGCAGACGCCATCGAAGACGCCATCGCAGACTCCATCGCAGACTCCATCGCAGACGCCATCGCAGACTCCATCGCAGACTCCATCGCAGACTCCATCGCAGACTCCATCGCAGACGCCATCGCAGACTCCATCGCAGACTCCATCGCAGACGCCATCGCAGACTCCATCGCAGACTCCATCGCAGACTCCATCGCAGACTCCATCGCAGACTCCATCGCAGACTCCATCGCAGACTCCATCGCAGACGCCATCGCAGACTCCATCGCAGACTCCATCGCAGACTCCATCGCAGACTCCATCGCAGACTCCATCGCAGACTCCATCGCAGACGCCATCGCAGACGCCATCGCAGACGCCATCGCAGACGCCATTGCAGACGCCATCGCAGACGCCATCGCAGACGCCATCGCAGACCCCATCGCAGACTCCATCGCAGACTCCATCGCAGACTCCATCGCAGACTCCATCGCAGACGCCATCGCAGACTCCATAGCAGACTCCATCGCAGACTCCATAGCAGACTCCATCGCAGACTCCATCGCAGACTCCATCGCAGACTCCATCGCAGACGCCATCGCAGACTCCATCGCAGACTCCATCGCAGACTCCATCGCAGACTCCATCGCAGACTCCATCGCAGACTCCATCGCAGACTCCATCGCAGACGCCATCGCAGATGCCATCGCAGACGCCATCGCAGACTCCATCGCAGACGCCATCGCAGACGCCATCGCAGACGCCATCGCAGACGCCATCGCAGACTCCATCGCAGACTCCATCGCAGACTCCATCGCAGACTCCATCGCAGACTCCATCGCAGACTCCATCGCAGACTCCATCGCAGACGCCATCGCAGACTCCATAGTAGACTCCATCGCAGACTCCATCGCAGACTCCATCGCAGACTCCATCGCAGACTCCATCGCAGACTCCATCGCAGACGCCATCGCAGACTCCATCGCAGACTCCATCGCAGACTCCATCGCAGACTCCATCGCAGACTCCATCGCAGACTCCATCGCAGACTCCATCGCAGACTCCATCGCAGACTCCATCGCACACTCCATCGCAGACTCCATCGCAGACTCCATCGCAGACGCCATCGCAGACGCCATCGCAGACGCCATCGCAGATGCCATCGCAGACGCCATCGCAGACGCCATCGCAGACGCCATCGCAGACTCCATCGCAGACTCCATAGCAGACGCCATCGCAGACGCCATCGCAGACGCCATCGCAGACTCCATCGCAGACGCCATCGCAGACGCCATCGCAGACGCCATCGCAGACGCCATCGCAGACGCCATCGCAGACTCCGTGTTTTGTTACTGCATTGGGAAGAGCGTGTACATAACAATCTGTAGGAGTTTTCATTAAAATGTCTGCACTCTTCATTCATTTCCACAAAGAGTCTTCTGAGCATCGATCGCAGACACAGAGAGTGCTCCTTCTTCTTGTACAAGCACTGATGAAATTTGCCTCTGCATTTTATGTTGGAGTACATCAAAAACAACTGGGATGCAAGGCCTGCGTCAGTCTGGCTGTGGGCCAAGACGAGCTAATTTCTTTGGCTCTGCTTCGTATATTTTGCATAACATGACTTAAAGCCGACAGAGTAAAGTCAGAGGGAGAGATGTAGGAGTTTTGAATAATACTGATCAGTGGCAAATGTGAACTGTAGAACTGGATACACGCCTTTTTGTATAAACAGTGATGCATAATAATAATAACCGCTAGAAATCCTAAAACTGTATCAACCTTACCACTGAGCGGCAGTGGTAAGTGCTTGTGTGTCACGGCAAGAAGGTTAAACTCCACCTGTAGGCCTTTCTGTGTGGAGTTTGCATGTTCTCCTTGTGTCTGGGTAGGTGCCTCCTGTACTGGTGAACTTGCCCCCGTCTCTGTGTGGAGTGAGAGACAAACGGCCACAACAATTGTAAAGTGCTTTGTGACTCTGGTGTGTGAAAGATTACAAGAGCAAGCAATTACTCGTCTACATTCCTGTTCTTCATAACTTTGACTTTTTCTCTCAATCTATGTATAGTTTATTTCTGTCATTGTGTTTTCTGAATTTATTTTCTATTTCTGACTTGAGAGTAGTTTGGCCTTTAACTGCCACAGCTGTCTTTTTGCTATTAACTGTCAGCCGTTAGCATTAGCATTAGCATCAGCCTTTCAACTAATTGCTTTTGCTGTATTTCAAGTTACTCTACATTCATCAATTTTAGCACGTATTAAAAGTGAGTGAAAACCTTATAAATGACTAACTTTTAATAAAATTTGTGAAACGTTTTTGGGGCAATTTCTCAGACCTCCATTGGTTTGAACGGGAGCAGTCAAAATGGCGGCTTTCGGGAGTTCCAGCAGTTCCATACTTGTGGCAGTTCTAGTGTTAAGGCGCGTTCAGACCAAAAGCTTCAAAAAGCTTTTGACGCGCGTCAGCTGACGCCGGGTTATTTTTGTCATTTTGGTGCTTGAAGCTTTTGACGCGAGTGACGCGACTGACGCGCCTGACGCGCCTGACGCGCCTGACGCTGGTGGGAGGAGCTTCTCTGTTGCCGGTGTAGTCCAGAGAAGATGGCGGATTTCCGAAGAGCAGCTTGCCTTTATTTGTTGGTAAAATCCATACAACGTCGTCGTAGGGCTTCTACACAACGTGTATGGGTTCACAGCATACTTCAGAGGCGTGCAGTGTTTGGTGAGTTTCACCATTTACTCCAGGAGCTGCGTATGGACGAGGCTCGCTTTCAGCGGTACTTCCGAATGTCAGTAGCCCAGTTTGATGACCTGCTCACCCGCATCGGAGCTCGCATCGCCCGCCTGGACACCAACTACAGGCGCTCGATTCCCGCGGAAGAGCGCCTGTCTATCTGTCTGAGGTTAGTGAGAATTTTCTGATAAAATATCTACAAATACAATAGGAAATAGCGTCCCTAGCATGGATCACGGAGCGAGAGAGAGGAGCAGCCAAAAGCAGTAGTTAAACGTTGAATATACGTTTTAATTAGGACATAAAAGTTAATTGTAATAACATTTCAGGCGGGAAATATACCCCACTAATGTCATATCAGAGGTCTGTTTGGTGATTAAATAGATATTTAAATTTTTGTCGGACTTTTTCCCTCCAGCGCGGAGCTCCAATGCTAACCGGCTAACCACGGGTGTTGAGCGGCGCTGAACACCCGTGAACCCAAGGAGGCTTTTGTTACAGACTTTCTCTGTTATAACGATTGTATTTAGAGTAATCATTAATACAATTGATATATTTGCTATGGCCCTCGTTTGTGCATTTGAAGTCATTTTGAAGGTGCATTGTGTCACTGTAGTGAAGTTATTAGAAAACTGATCAATTAAATCAGCATTGTCTGCTACTTAGTACTTAATATATTCAGATTCCCAAGTGATTAACCCCCCTGTGATTTCACAAGAGAGGGTACATTTCCATTGTTGGTGCAATTCCTGAAAACAAATTTACACAATCATATTGTATGATTAATTTAAAATATTTTTGTATATTGGGAAGCACATCAACCTCAAGGCACCCCCCAACTCAGGCTCCCTGTACTTCAACTACAAGGGTAGGCACTCCTTGGTCCTCCTTGCTATTGTAGATGCCAACTACAAGTTCAGGGTGATTGACGTAGGGGGCTATGGCAGAACCAGCGATGGAGGGATCCTGGCCAACTCCACCTTCGGTCAGGCTCTGCATGCGGGAACACTTCCTCTGCCAGCTGACCGGCATCTCCCTGGAGCAGAGCACCGAGGCCCCCTGCCCCATGTCTTTGTGGCAGATGAGGCCTTCCCACTGCGGAGGAACTTAATGCGGCCTTTTCCAGGAAGTGGCGGCGCTAACCCTGGACAGCGCATTTTTAATTACCGCCTCTCCCGAGCCCGGCTGGTGGTGGAGGATGCGTTTGGCATTTGGTCATCGCAGTGGAGGATGTTTCGTCGGGACCTCGAGATCCGGCCAGAAGTTGTGGAGAAGTGCGTGAAGGCCACATGTGTTCTCCACAATTTCCTGAGGGTGTCTGCTCCGGTCCCAGTCCTGAGAGGAGCTGCAGCGCAGGGAGATGACTGTCTTCCAGGTGTCGGGAGGATGGGTGCCAACAACGCCACCAGAGAGGCACTGCAGGCGAGGGAGGCGTTCATGGCCCACTTCTGTGAGGAGGGGGCAGTAGCATGGCAGCCGACAGAGTAGTCAGATCCTCACGGGACTGACCCAAAACGGTTCTTTTAAGAGCCACCCATGAAAACTAAAGAGCATTTCTTCTTTAATAATATTTGAGTGTCTGTATTTGCCAATGCATTACTTTTGAATATCAGGACACAAATACTACAACATCCTGATCATGAATTCTAGTCTTGGATAAAGACCATGTCTATGTTTATCCAGTATGTTTTTGAACCATTCACCTGTGCCCTTCTTGTTTGCAGGTAATAGTTCCAGATTCTGCAGCTGTCTCCGACTTCACAACATGTTCAAGCATGGCCTCAATTACAAGTTTGTCCAAACAGGATATGCTGAAATTAATTATGTCAACTAATTTCTATTGTCTCATATTTGGTGATAACGTGTTTACGAGTAAAGTTCTCCTTAATTGAAGTATTTGAAATTAGTGATATTTAACTTATTTGAACACATACCTTAATGAAAAACCTGTACATATTTAAAGTAGCAGACCAAATCTTAAGTTATAAATTTTTTAATGAAATATGTAAAAACAAATATATACACAAAAAAGAACAGGAACAGGAATAAAAAGGACCTTGCTTGGAGGAGGAGGAGGAGTGCAGGAAGGAGAAGAGTCTGTTTCCTCCCCTGCAAAAGAAGCCACCTCATAGCTAAACACTACTACTAAGTGTGCTCCAATTGTTCCACATTAAGCGTAAATGCGCTGCTCTCATAAAGTAATTTATGAATTTGGAATTTGACAAATTCTAAAGATTGAGGTGGCACCTTATCCAGGAGAGGAAGCAGAGATTGGAGGAAGAGCTCATTTCGTGATGGAGCTGGAGCTGCAGTCTGCCGCAGGAGGGCCATCAGCTCCAGCTCCAAGCGCGATAGCTCCTGGGCGGAGGTGTCCTGGGTGGTGCGCTTCCTCGCTCTCTTCCTTTGTGGACCTGCAAACACCACAAGACAATGGCTTTAAAAATATAAAGTCATGAGTATGTAGGATCTGATAATCTATGAACAACTTTTAAATCCTTTTCTTATGTTAAATAAAATAACTAGATCCTATGTAAAAACAGTATTCGATTTGTATATTTCACTTTTTGATGCCCACATATTCAAAAGTATTTGTGAAATGTTTAATATAACGTTTATACATTCACAACAATAAAATTGATTTCCTACACACCTGTAGGTGCAGCAGCAGGGGAACGACCGGCAGCAGAGGAAGAACCAGCAGCAGAGGACGGTCCAGGAGCCGAGAACGGTCCAGAGGCCGAGAACGGTCCAGGAGCCGAGGACGGTCCAGGAGCCGAGAACGGTCCAGAGGCCGAGGACGGTCCAGCACTCGGCTCTGTCTCTGAACTTGACTCCGTATCAGCGTCATCTGTTATTAAATAAATTACTTTCACTTCACAGCACGTGTACAATCATTTTAAGAACGTTAATACTCATATAAATAACCTTGCTATAAACAATAATGACAACAAAACAGTTTAGTGGGCAGCTGCATGACTTCTTTCCATACATTGTTTTAGCTACACACCTACATCTGACATTAGTTTACAGCATATGTACATTTATTTTGCCAGTTGCTTATTAAGAACGTTAATACTCATAAATAACCTTGCTATAAACAATGACAACAAAACAGTTTAGTGGGCAGCTGCTTGACTTCATTCAATACATTGTTTTAGCTACAGACCTCCTGCAACTGACACCTCCGCTGCTGCTGGTTCTTCCTCTTGGAGGTGGCTGTCCCCCCTCTCCTCCTCGGCCCTGTGTGCTGTCATGTTACCAGTAGATGGCCTCGGTGTTACGTAGGGCTCGAGGAAGGAGAGCGATGCCAAGTACCTCCACCTCTGCACTGTCCCTGCTGCTGCTGCACCACTGCGCCTCCTGTCTTTCTCCTTCCTGCACTCCCTCATGAACCTGTCCCTCAGGCTTTTCCACCTCTTTTTGATTTCTTTCTCTATATGAACAAATGGACTTGTGAGCGGGAACAGAAATCATAGCGACTGTACATTGTACGACTCCTGACCGGAGTTTACTAAACATGGAATACAGATATGAATTCTTTACATAACTTACCATCGTACCCGATCTCCTCGCTTATCCTCCTCCAAGCAAGGTCCTTTTTATTCCTGTCCCTGTATAGCGGGCTGGAAACAGCGTAAAGCTCTGGGCGAGAGCTAATCGCCACGATTAAGCTCTCCTCCATGTTCTCGAATATGATTTTGTTTCCCGCTTCCACCGGCTTCATCGTAGAGCGACCCTGTCTCCTGATTGGTTGAAGCCCGCGTCAAAGCTTCAAAAGCTCAGCTTTGGCGTCAAAGGGATTGTTGTGATACGCGAGCGATTCGCGCGTCAAAAGCTTCAAGTGAGCGCGTATTACGCGCGACCTTTGAAGCTTTTGACGCGCGCCAAGTGACGCCGGGCCCCTCGGCTTCACCTGACGCGCTTCACCATTCACTTTCAATGCAAACCTGACGCTTTTGACGCCGAAGTTAAGTCCGGTGTGAACGCCCCTTTAAAGGGGAGGTTTGTTCAAATGAATACATTCCATTTACCACTTTGGTTCCAAGCAATTGTCACAGAAGTCTGGATTTATTGCTTTTTAAATTCATTTGTATTGATCTGTCGGCTCTTCTGCTGCTGTGTCGATACCCCGGTCTCTGCCAGTACCACGCTCACACACTGAAGCATGAAAACACTCCACTTTTTGCTAAAATAGAGAGTAAAGGAACAAGATGTCGCCGCACTCAAAGTCCGACAAGAGTTCACTTCACTTTAGAACTACCAGTTTTAAAGACGTCCAGGACAAGCCCCAACGAACCATCACAAAGAAGAAGAATTGAAGAAATGATAAGAGATGGTTTTGTCGTCCTACAGCGGGGAAATTTCAATGTTGCAGCGCACATACACGAGACAAAATGTACAGTATAAGTAGCTGCCATGTTTCTTGCTGTAAATGCTTCATTATCAATATATCAATGTAGTCATTCCTCACCGATGCAGAGGGTCTAAGTCAGTGTTCCCCAACCTTATTTTATTGAAAACAACCCATTTGGCACACCACTAGCAGAAACGATAAAACTAAATGTAACTGCAGCTTTTGTTATGAACGCAAAGTCATTCTCATCTAAGTGTAAAATATAAATAAAATTGACCAATAGGTGATATTTAAAAATTTCCAAAGGCATTCCAAACAACATCTCAACGTGCCATGGCTCATTGGTTAAAAAACACTGGTCAAAGGACAGTAATGACAATAATCCTGCTTTTTATTACAAGTATTATTCAAACTATTTAATTCTCTGACCTGTAGCTGGTGAATCCACAGCGTCATAATGTCCTCTGAGACGACTGCTGTTGAGATTTGGCGCTGTACACATTATTTTGACTAAACAAACGCACTAAACAAAACTAAATCAACCTGAAAACCCACCCATAGATCCCATAGATTCCAGTCAAATCCCTGTGGACCTCTCCTTATGTTTTCTCCTAATGGACACGACCAATGAAATGACCGCAAATTACAAACTCATCGACAACGCCAGTTCTTATCACCGTTTATTGTTTACTGCGGTTGTAAGCGCTGAGCCCGCGGGATCTGCCGACGCGCCGCTCGGCTCGGCTCTAGCGAAGCAGAGAAGGAGATTCTTAGCGTCATAATGGAAGGGCTCGGTGTGAAAAGTCTGAGGCGCAGACGAGACTTTTCTCATAGAACGTATTAAAACTCAGACATAGATGGATAGATAGATACTGTAGATAGATAGATAGATAGATACTGTAGACAGACAGACAGATTATAGATAGACAGACTGACAGACAGACAGACAGATGATAAACAGACAGACTGACAGACAGACAGACTGACAGACAGACTGACAGACAGACAGATGATAGATAGACAGACAGATGATAGACAGACTGACAGACAGACAGACAGATGATAGACAGACTGACAGACAGACAGATGATAGACAGACTGACAGACAGACAGATGATAGATAGACAGACTGACAGACAGACAGATGATAGATAGACAGACAGATGATAGATAGACAGACAGATGATAGACAGACAGACAGACAGAGACAGACAGATGATAGATAGACTGACAGACAGACAGACAGATGATAGACAGACTGACAGACAGACAGAGACAGACAGATGATAGACAGACTGACAGACAGACAGACAGATGATAGATAGACAGACAGATGATAGACAGACTGACAGACAGATGATAGACAGACTGACAGACAGACAGACAGATGATAGATAGACAGACAGATGATAGACGGGACTGACAGACAGATGATAGACAGACTGACAGACAGACAGATGATAGATAGACAGACAGATGATAGACGGGACTGACAGACAGATGATAGACAGACTGACAGACAGACAGACAGATGATAGACAGACTGACAGACAGACAGATGATAGACAGACTGACAGACAGACAGATGATAGACAGACTGACAGACAGACAGATGATAGATAGACAGACAGATGATAGACAGACTGACAGACAGACAGATGATAGATAGACAGACAGATGATAGACAGACTGACAGACAGATGATAGACGGGACTGACAGACAGATGATAGACGGGACTGACAGACAGATGATAGACAGACTGACAGACAGACAGATGATAGATAGACAGACAGATGATAGACAGACTGACAGACAGACAGACAGATGATAGACAGACTGACAGACAGACAGATGATAGACAGACTGACAGACAGACAGATGATAGACAGACTGACAGACAGACAGATGATAGATAGACAGACAGATGATAGACAGACTGACAGACAGACAGATGATAGATAGACAGACAGATGATAGACAGACTGACAGACAGATGATAGACGGGACTGACAGACAGATGATAGACAGACTGACAGACAGACAGATGATAGATAGACAGACAGATGATAGATAGACAGACAGATGATAGACAGACAGACAGACAGACAGACAGATGATAGACAGACCGACAGACAGATGATAGACAGACTGACAGACAGACAGATGATAGACAGACTGACAGACAGACAGATGATAGACAGACTGACAGACAGACTGACAGACAGATGATAGACAGACTGACAGACAGACAGACAGACAGATAGCTCCTTTCCTACACAAGGCAACACAAAGCGCCTCACTCACATCACATCATGCATTAATCATCAGACATTAAAACGTACACAAACACAACACACACCATAAGAGCCCGATACATATTAAATACATAAAAACACACGTTGTAGTTTAAAAACCTAAAACATTAAAATCACACATGGGATTAAAATCATAAATAGCCATAGTGCATTAAAAAGAGGAAAGATTAAATACATCCAGTTGTATGCACAGCCAAACACATAAGTACATCAATTATAAACAACTAACTAAGTAATTAGTAAGTAATCTTTATTTATATACCGCCTTTTCACTGCTCATCGGAGTCTCAAAGCGGTTTACAATTGTTTTTTTTGGGAGTGGGGGTGCCAGTACAGGAGGCACATGCCAGACCTATTGTACATATTTTTAGTGGTAGGGGAAACCGGAGCACCCGGAGGAAACCTACGCAGACACAGGGAGAACATGCAAACTCCACTCAGAAAGGCCCTGGTCCAACCGGGATTCAAACCCAGGACCTTCTTGCTGAGAGGCGAGAGTGCTATCCACTCAGCCACCGTGTCGCCCTAACTATCTCTAAATAACTTCCGAACAATAGTGCATATTTTTAACTCATTCAGGTTCGTTGTACAGTCTGACAGCCGAAGGAACAATGGATTTCTTTAAACGTTCGCTTCGGCAGCGCGGTGAAAATATGACATTATGACATTATTATAATTTATTGTTTTGGTCATACATGGTAAAAAAATCACATGTTCCAGCTTCTTCCTTCTTGAGCCAAATCCAAGTTTTTGTTTGGAATTAATTACACATTCATTAGTAGATATTAGATAGATTTTTTGTTAATTTGTAACTACTCTGGTTAGTTCTTTTTATCACACTGAGGTTACGCATAATTTTCATGTTATTTTGGTATCAGGGCCTTGTTATTATCGTAATGTATTGAGTTCCAGCACATTTACAGCCACACTTTATCTAATTAAGAGGAAGATTAGAGGGTGGAGATGGAACACAGCGCTGAGAAGCCATTATCGATTTATTCTTAAATATACAGCGCTGGTTATTGATCGGTGATTATGTAAGCGTATCGTTTAAGGGAATTTTGCAGATTGGGAGATTGCTTAACTCCTCGTCACAAAGCAACAATAATTGAAGCGCTTGATGCAAAAAAAATGTGTTTCAGCACTTTAAAGGCTTTCCCAATTTAACTGCGATAGTGATCAAACATCAGAGGAAAAGTTAGAAAGATCCTTTTGTTTTTTATCTCTAATGGTTTGTTACAAGTCTCTCCACGGCCTCGCACCAAAGTACATCTGTGACATGTTAGTGACATATGAACCAACTCTGAGGAGCACAGGGACTGGCCTCCTGCTGGGGACTCTGAGGAGCACAGGGACTGGCCTCCTGCTGGGGACTCTGAGGAGCACAGGGACTGGCCTCCTGCTGGGGACTCTGAGGAACACAGGGACTGGCCTCTTGTGGGGACTCTGAGGAGCACAGGGACTGGTCTCCTGTGGGGACTCTGAGGAGCACAGGGACTGGCCTCCTACTGGGACTCTGAGGAGCACAGGGACCGACCTCCTGTGGGCACTCTGAGGAGCACAGGGACTGGCCTCCTGCTGGGACTCTGAGGAGCACAGGGTCTGAACTCCTGCTTGGACTCTGAGGAGCACAGGGACTGGCCTCCTGCTGGGGACTCAGAGGAGCACAGGGACTGGCCTCCTGCTGGGACTCTGAGGAGCACAGGGACCGGCCTCCTGTGGGGACTCTGAGGAACACAGGGACTGGCCTCCTGCTGGGACTCTGAGGAGCACAGGGTCTGAACTCCTGCTTGGACTCTGAGGAGCACAGGGACTGGCCTCCTGCTGGGGACTCTGAGGAGCACAGGGTCTGAACTCCTGCTGGAAGTCTGAGGAGCACAGGGACTGGCCTCCTGTGGGGACTCTGAGGAGCACAGGGACCAGCCTCCCGTGGGGACTCTGAGGAACACAGGGACTGGTCTCCTGTGGGGACTCTGAGGAGCACAGGGACTGGTCTCCTGTGGGGACTCTGAGGAGCACAGGGACTGGACTCCTGCTGGGACTCTGAGGAGCACAGGGTCTGAACTCCTGCTTGGACTCTGAGGAGCACAGGGACTGGCCTCCTGCTGGGGACTCTGAGGAGCACAGGGTCTGAACTCCTGCTGGAAGTCTGAGGAGCACAGGGACTGGCCTCCTGTGGGGACTCTGAGGAGCACAGGGACCGACCTCCTGCTGGGACTCTGAGGAGCACAGGGACTGGTCTCCTGTGGGGACTCTGAGGAGCACAGGGACTGGTCTCCTGTGGGGACTCTGAGGAGCACAGGGACTGGACTCCAGCCAAATCCAAAACTTCCGATTACTAGCCTTGTACTCCCTATCACACATTCATTACTTTCTGTGTTATAACAATATCTTGCATTTTTGTTCATTTAATACTTGACACAGAGGTTATACACATCAGATTTGACTTTAAGTACAAAAAAATTGATTTATTTTGGCGTGGGCGAACTGAAAGAGGTCTGAGTTGGATCCAGACACTGCTTAAAAATACAGCACATAAGAATTCACAATTTGAGGCTAAAAGAGTGACTATTTCACTCCCACGCTCTGTGTGTGCGCGAATCATTCCACAACCCTGGGTGAAACATTTGCATGGATTTGGGGACCAATCAGAGGCCGGCAGGGGCGGGACGATGACGCACTATTGGACAGACGGAAGCTTGTGTAGTTTTGTTTAAAGATCCAACATGACGGCAGCAGATGCAAAGCTTGTAAACACACATCCTCAGGTAGGATTGATTTGATTGGCTATGAGCTTCGTGCAGGCGCTTGATATTGTTGTCAAAAATGATTTGACTGACGTGTTCAGAATTTGGTACAGAAATAAGGCCAAGATTTCAAGAGTTCCAATAGTACATTTATTTCTCTTTACAATTAAATGTTGATACAGAACTCCTGGAGCTATTGCCTAAATCTATCCCTGTGCTCCAACTCCCCACAATGTGTCCTCCCAACGGTTTTATCAGAATGTCCGATGACGTCACATGGTCTGAGGCTCGTCCCAGTCTGGCCCAGTCCAGTTTTGTGTCTCAGGCCGCTAGAGACACGCTGTTCCTGAAAATGATACTTTTATCACAGAAGCCTTGTCCTTGGTGCTTGTCTGAATTCCATTAAATCCAGGCTTTAATATTGCACAAAGACATGTTATACAAACACCTACTGGAAATCATTAGTATACAACATTATAATTCTACAACAATAGACAGTTGTAGCGCCCAATAAAAGGCTATAGGACAATCGTTACCCACACCTCTGCTACGAGAAAATGACGGTTCCCAGAGTAAATATTCACTTCATTTCAGTCATTCGTTTTTAAGGTAGCCGTTCTCTGTCATAGTCTTGAAGTAGTTTCCTTGTTTTTTGAGTTTGTCCTCGCTGGTGCAGGAGGGTCTGAG